GGAAGGAAGGAAGGAAGGAAGGAAGGAAGGAAGGAAGGAAGGAAGGAAGGAAGGAAGGAAGGAAGAAAGAGGGAGGGAGGGAGGAAAGGAGGAAGGGAGGGAGGGAGGAAGGAAGGAAGAAAGGAAGAAAGAGAATAGAGCCTTATATATTCTAGGCTCGCCTTGAATTTGCTCTGTGGACAAGGATGATGTGCTTCTGATCTTTTTCAAGTGATGAGATTACAGGTGTGTACCACCAGGACCAGTTATATGCAGTATCATGGATCAATTCCAATCTTTCTGTGTACTGCACAAGCACTTAAAAAGAAGAATTAAATTTTTATTGTTTTAAATATGTCTATGTGTGTGTTTGTGTGCCAGAATGTGCATGTGAGTGCAGGTGCCTGCAAAGGCCAGAGACATAGGATCCCTTGGAACTGGAGTTACAGACAATTAAGAATTGCCATGTAGACCTTCTGGAATTGCAGTCAGTACTCTGAGCATCTCCCCAGCCCTAGAAGCTAATGCTCATCTTCAGAAGCACTCTTAACAACTGAGCTGTGTCTTCAACCCATTAGCACATTTAAAAATTATTATTGTTATTATTATTGGTTTTTTTGAGACAGGGTTTCTCTGTGTAGCCCTGGCTGTCCTGGAACTCTCTCTGTAGACCAGGCTGGACTTGAACTCAGAGATTCACCTCCTTCTTCCTCCCAAGTGCTGGGATTAAAGGCATGCACTGCCACTACCACCCAGCTGCAAAATCCTTTTTTAAAACAGGGTCTCACTATGTGGCTCTGTCTGTCATGAAGATCGGGCTGACTTTGGACTCACAGAGATCCCTCCTGCCCCTGCCTCCCAAATGCTGGGATTAAGGTGTGTACCAACACTAGCCCAATCCTGAAGCCAGAGCTGGAGAACAAAATATTCACATATCTTTGTGATACCCTGCATTGGCCACATATGGATGTAATAAATAATAAATAAATATATCACTAAAAACTTAAAAATTGACAGGTGTGGTGTCACACACCTTTAATGGCAGTGCTCATGATGCAGACAGGTAGACAGAGTTTGAGGCCAGCCTGGGTTGGTTATACAGTCGTTGCAGGCCAGCCAAGAGCTACATAGTGAGACCCTGTCTCAAAGCAAAACAAAACAACACAACAAAAATGACAAGAAACACTAAAAGTGTAATAGTATACTGTTTTTTTTTCTTTCTTTCTCTCCTTCTTTCTTTCTTTTTTTTTTTTTTTTTTAATTTTTGGTTTTTAGAGACAGGGTTTCTCTGTGTAATTACGGTGCCTGTCCTGGATCTCACTGTGTAGCCCAGGCTGGCCTGGAACTCAGAGATCGGCCTGACTCTGCCTCCCAAGTGCTGGGATTAAAGGTGTGCACCGCTGCCCGGCCATAGTATACTGTTACACGTTATTTATTTATTAAAACTGATGGACTGTGCTGTGGCCTCATGATTGATGTGCACAAGTCCTAGGTTCTAGCTCCAGCACTACCAAAAAAAGTTTTTTAAAAACTTATGAATTGTTTATCTGTGGCATTTTTCATGTTTTATATATATATATTTTAAATTGAGACAGGGTTTCTCTTTGTGTCCCTGGCTGTCCTGGAACTAGCTCTGTAGACCAGGCTGGCCTCGAACTCAGAGATCCACCGGCCTCTGCCTACCAAGTTCTGGGATTAAAGGTGAGGACCACCATCACCCAGCTGATCCTACAGTATCACTGATGAGGTCTCTAGCTGTTAACACTGGCCATGTATGTGAATTTAATGGGTGTCAAACTGGCCATGTGTGTGAGTTTCATGGGTGTCAAACTGGAAGTCGCAACCCTGTTGGAGCACTGTGGTTAGCCAAAGAGCATAGGCCCTCCTGACCCTACTGAGTGCCCTTAGCATGGTCTGTCACTCTACTGTCCCGCTTATCCCGGAAGAACAGCCTCTTTGGAGTGATGCAATTTCCTGTCTGTTAGTAAATGAATTAAGTAGCACAATTACTGAAAATCCATTTCACCTGTTTCTGGTTCTCTTCTGTTTTCGCAGTGTGGCTCCTCGGGTGATGTGACTCAGGCTTGTGCCTTATCAAATAGTATACGTCCCCTCAGGTGCCTATGGCTGTGACTCAGAATTGCTTCTGTCTGTCTTTTGTAGAACCCGTTCCCCCAGCCAGGCTGTCGTCATGGTGATTGGCAGTGAGGAACATTTTGAAGACTACGGTGAGGGCAGCGAGGCCGAGCTGTCCCCGGAGACCCTCTGTAATGGGGAGCTGGACTGCGGAGACCCTGCTTTTCTCACCCCCAGGTGACACCTTGCACTGCGCATGGTCTGCTCCTTCTCCATGCCCAGCTCCGGGGAATCTTCTCTGTGGGGTCCTGTGCTGCTCAGGGGAAACTTGCTTTTTCTGCTGCTGTGCAGTTGAACACCACACGGAGGAGTCTGTCCCAGAGGGGGGCTAGCTGCGCCCCTCTTGCCTACTGCAGTATGCTGCAGCCCGTGAAGCATCTGCTGAGCCACTGCACACGGCTGCCGGCGGCTCTGGGGGAGACTGTAGAGTCACGAGCCAGGCTCTACAGATTTTTTGAAAAGTTCTAGCTCTGTGTTAAGCGAACTATGGCATCTGGTAGACAAGACACTTGCTTTCCCTCAGTTGCCTCAGGAGGTTGACTTGTACCTGGCTGGTTTTGACTGCAGACCTGAGTAGCCCCTCCTGAGCATTGAGTCTGAGGAAACCTCCGTCTCCCAGGGGGGCCCAGGCCTGGCTGGACTGCTCTTCCACACTGACCACACCGCCCTTTTGCTTCCTGGTTCCTGATTTTGTCCACTTCAGCCTGGTTATCATGGCAGCACAGACCTGTGGAGCCAATGCTAGAGGCCTTTCTGTGAGCTAATGTGCCGCCTCAAAACAGCGCTGGCTGGGAATGGGCTCTCTGAGCGCATCCTGGGTTGTCCCAGAGTTGGGCATTTCTGCGCCCGTGTCTCCTGTGCGGTGGCCGTCTCCTGCTTGTGCAGTTTGCCCCATCTCCCGCCTGGTGTCCCCAATCTGAAGTGTCACTTTCACGCTACATTTGATGTATTCTTTCCTACCTTTCTTTTTTCTTTTTTCTTTTTTTTTCTGAGACAGGGTTTCTCTGTGTAGTTTTGGTGCCTGTCCTGGATCTCGCTCTGTAGACCAGGCTGGCCTCGAACTCACAGAGATCTGCCTGGCTCTGCCTCCTGAGTGCTGGGATTAAAGGCGTGTACCACCACTGCCCGGCCTCTACCCTTCTTTAAAGTGAACTTGCAGGCTAGTTTTCCACAGCCTGTGGGTCCTTCCCCAGGGATGAGGCTGCTTCCCTGACCTCAGTGCCCAGGAACAGCTATGTCCTGGTCCGCCCGTGTGCTAAGAGCTTCTTGAATTAGAGTCACAGGAGTTCAGCTAGTGTCCCCAGAAGGCTAGACAGAATCCTGAGTTTTTAACACAGACCTCAAAAGCATAAATCTTTTTCAGACAGCAAGACTGTCTCAAAATAACAACAACAAAAACCCAACAAATAAACTCCCCCCCCCCCCCAGACACACTCGGCTGTCACAGTCATGTGATTTCCCCAGGGGAGAAAGCTGTTGTCTACATTTACCTTCCTGATAAAAGGAGTTTGGGGTTCGGGCTCTCACTGCCTGGGTTTGTGTCCTGCCTGGCAGGGGGAATGTGTGGCAGCCCGGGCTGCCCCAGGTGGCGGATGTTGCAGGCTCCTCAGGTGATGTGAAGAAGGGCTTCCAGTAGTCCCCAGAGCACAGGCAGCCCCTGGACCATTCCTCCTCTTCCCGTGCTTCTGTCCAGTGCCTTTCCCTCCCTCCTCCACCTCAGGCCTGGCAAAGACAACCTAACAGGGCCTCCTCTCTCCTGACTGGCCTCTGTCTTTCTAGCTCCAACCCTCTTGCCTCAAAGCTGCGCAACGTCCTCACTGATGAGGTCTTTGAGTTTCACTGTAGCCAGTGCCACAAACAGATCAACCGCCTCGAAGACCTTTCTGCCCGCCTGACTGACCTTGAGATGAATAGGTAACATGGAGAACCTGGTCTTGCTCTGTGCTCCCAGGGAGACTCCCACTGCAGTGCTCCCCACTACTGGGTGTTGCCCAAGGTGCTCCTGCTCTGGTCACCTAGTCTAGCAAGGCACTGGGACGATGGGACTCTTCCTGCGGACCCTACCCCTGCATGCCTTGACCTAGCTTGCCGCCTGTGTCCCTTCTCCTTCATGCATGTGGCAGCCTCGTTGGATGCTGTCCCTGTAGGGGAAACAACCTCACGTGAAACTTTTCTTCATCTGAGTCATGGAGGCAGAGCTGGGGAATTTAAAGATGGGTTTTTAAAGCCAATTTGTAAGTAGTCGTCTGGACTGCGGGGTTAGTCCTCGTCACCTGTGCTCTGGGGCCTTCGGTTCTGTCGGGTGGCTGTACATTCAGATGCAGAGGACTTGGTATGGCTGCTTTGCTCTTACGCCGTGCCCGCTGCTCCTCTGCCCGCTGTCCTGTTCTCGCTCACCTATTACTCATCTCCACCCTTTGCCCCCTGCGTCTCTGTGAGCAGTCCCAGCAGAACCAGCGTTCCAGCGAGTTCTCTTTGCTGCTCCACAAACGCATAGTAACACCTTTGGGTTCTTGGTTCGTATCACCATGCCATTGGCTCAGTGTGACATCCCATTGGCTCAGTGTGAAGAGGCATGAGTCCTTGGCTGGGAGCTTGAAGAAGAAGGGTCCAGAGAAGAGATGGGCTGTATGTGAAGCTATGGATGGCATCCCCTGCCAAGCAGAGGCATCAGATGACCACACAGGCTCTAGTTGGGCAGAAGTGTTGTGGCGGAAAGGAAGACCATCCCGGTAGTGCCGCATGCTTGGAGGTCTGTTAGAGGCCGTGCCTTGTCTGCAGGGCTTTAACCCGGCTAGATCTACACCTCTGTCCCGTTCCAGCTCCAGTCCTGGTGCCCTTGACATGTTATCTTCTTTTCTTGTGTTCTGTGTAGCATCACAGTGAGATAGGATCTTGGCCAGTTGGGAAAGATCAAAGGGAACTCTGTGGGGTCCTGATCACAGTGCTAGAAACCAGAAGTGTTCTTTGAGGGCATGTCTCTGCAAGACTTGGGGGAAACAATGTAGTGTCTGATGATTCCAGAAACCCTGTTGGCTTCCATTGTAGAGGACACAGGCTTTCACCTGCCATGTGTTCAGTGCTGGGGAAGGTGCCAGCTACATTCTTTCTGCTGGTGAACTGCCTCCCTACTGATGAGTAGGGGTGAGTTACAGGTATGTTAAAGAAGACATGTATGTTGTCTCAATCACTGAAGATTTTTCCCATGCTAAAAACCTGCCTCTAAGATGCAATGATCATACCAGTTAGGCCTTGTGGGGCAGAGGTCAGACTAGTATGTGGCTCAGCATGACTGGAATGGGATCTCTCACCCTAAAATGCTCTGCTAGGTCTAGAGAAACTTTCAACTTTAGTTGGAACACAGCTGTCAAGTACTAGCACCCCAGTACTAGTGAGAGCTGAACTGTGCCTCCTGGCCTGCATGGATTCCCTCAGGATAAGCATCATGAACTCACCATATAGCAATAGGGTTTACATTATGTCGCAGGTGTTTGCCCAGTGGGCAACACAGCATTCCTGTAGCTGTTGTGTTCCTTGGGTACCTGGGAGTATCTATAAAAACAATGCATTTTATAGAAACCGAGCAGTCTGATTTACTCAGAGGTATATCTTCAAAATTGTAAGCTGTTGCAGGATTTCCCGGTCTGAGGCTGATGGGTAGATGTACAGCCTCTGAGGCTGATGGGTAGATGGAGCAGTCTGATCTTACTGTGCAAGGAGTGTCCATGATTGGAAGATAAAAGCAGATTTGTACTAAAATGTACAGTGCTAGCCAAGAGTCCAGCCAGGAGAGGGAGCCATACAGTAGCTGCAGAGAGACGAAGCTGTGAGGGCAGGAACACGAGCCACTACCAGTGTGTGACAAGAGATCGGAGGAGTCACAAATAGCAAATGTGATGCAGGGATCCAGGTATCACTGCCCACCCAGGAGAAGCTCTGTGCACCTCGGCAGCCCGCAACCCTGTGGAAACGGTGCGGCAAAGACGGTACTGTGCTATCAGCACCTTCTCTCCGGTGCCCTCTGTTGGCAGAATGTAGCATCACAAATGAAAATGTATCCCTGCAATGGACTTCGGAGTCACCACAAAGGATGGTTTGGAACCCAGCTGAAGTGATGCAGGAACGCCTCTCCAAGTAGATTGCCTGCCCGCCCTTGAAAGAGGAAAAGGGGCTGTCGGGTCTGCTGTGAGCTAGGACAGGTGGTTCTGTGCCTGATCACAGTTGTATCTTCCTGGGGCCACAGGTTCAGAAGGGAGGCCATGCGCTGATTGGCCTCAGAGCCAGGAGAGGCATATTGGGCCTACTCTTGCTGCAGTTGGTGGTCTGTGTTACTGCTCCATGGTGGCTCAAGGAAGGGTTTCTAAATCCTCATCCTACAGATATTTGGAGTGTGAAGTGTCAGGACCCAAGCAAAAGCGATTACAGGCCTTCCTGTCAGAGGAGGGCCTGTGTGCTAGCCAGTCAGCTGGGCTCATGGCTTCAGCAGCACTGGAGACATGACAGTAGCCGGTAATGTGGACCCAGGTGCCGGCGGCTGGTGGGTTTAGGCCCTGAGCTTGGCTGGGTACTGTGGCCTGCGTGGTTTCTTTTGAGGTCTTGGGGACGGAACGATGAGACGTGGTGGAGACCTTACGAAAGGTGCCATGCATGTCCTCTGCCTTGCAGAGGGTATTCTGTGCATGTGGCTTGTCTGGGGCCAGGGGCTGCATGCCTGGGCCCTGCTATCTCCCCAGCCCAAGTTTCCTGTTTCCTCTTGTCCTTCTGTCTGCTCCCTGACACGATTTTCCTGTTTGTTTGGTTTTTGCACAGCCCAGCCAAGCGGCTCTCCAGCAGGAAGGTGGCAAGGTAGGCAGAGCCTCGATCACTTGCTGAAAATCTTATGAAATGTCCTGGTAGTCACAGTTTCTGAAGAACATTTTAGAAGATATTCTTGTCCAGGTTTTTTTTTTTTAAATTAATTTAAACTTTCAGGTTTTATTTCCTGGTTTGGGATAGAAAGCATTTGAAGGAATTTCTAGGGCTGTGGGTTTAGACCTGGACTTGGAGCTGATAGCAGCTTCTGTGTCCCCTCTGCCCTTACAGTCTCCTTGTAAGGGCTGGGGTGGGCTGCAGTCTCCCAGTGTCTGCTCTAGGAGTCAGTCTCTTAGAGCTGGCTCTGGGCGGCTGTCTACCCGGCCTACGGTCTTACCAACCCAGTGGCTCATGTGGAGAGAAGAGAGGGTGGGGAAATAGGTCTTGCTAGGGTCTTGGGGTTTGTTTGGGGGGCAAGAGGGATTGGTTTGGGTTTTTGTTTTTTGTTTTGTTTTGCTTTTCAAGACAGGGTTTCTCTGCATAGCCCTGGCAGTCGTGGATCTCACTCTGTAGTCCAGGCTGGCCTCGAACTCAGAGATCCGCCTGCGTCTGTCTCCCGAGTGCTGAGATTAAAGGTGTGCACCACCACTGTCTGGCCTTGTTAGAGTCTTCAAGGCCAGCTTCTGTTTTTAGAGTTAGGCTGCTGTCGGCTTCCTGCTGTAAAAGGTGAATTGTGCTTCTGCCCTCCTGTTGGCTCCGGCACAGTCTTCACTGAAGTCAGCGTTCAGGTCTAAGACGCTGCCATCCGTATGGCCGGGCTCAGGTAGTAGTGCTGTATTTCCTCCCTAAGACCAGCTGCTGCGGCTGCCAAGTTAGTGGACACCTTTGTGCTCTTCCGTTGTCTTTTTTTTCCCCCCAAGACAGGGTTTCTCTGTGTAGTTTTGGTGCCTGTCCTGGATCTCGCTCTGTAGACCAGGCTGGCCTTGAACTAAGAGATCTGCCTGCCTCTGCCTCCTGAGTGCTGGGATTAAAGGCATGTGCCACCACCACCCAGCTCTGTTGTCTTCTGAGTCTCTAGCCTGTCTTCACTGCCCAGCCCTCTCTTGGGACCATGGGCGAGAACCCCTCCTGTTTTGTACAGGTATCTCCTGGCTTCACAGCTAGGGACTTCGCATGTCCCCCCCACCCTATGAATTCTTTGTTTCGGAGATTGAGTCCTCCAGTTCCCTGCCCCAGCCTGCTCCAGTCTCACCCCTTTTTGTTTTGCATATCTTCCTGTGGGCTTCCTGAGAAGGGAAGGAACGGGGTAAAATTCGAGACCTTGGACACCTTGGGAGTGTCCTTTGGTTAGTTTGGGTCAAGGTTGTGAATTTTCCTTAAATTTTTCTGGGGTCAGTGGTCACAGCCTTTGGTACTGGAGTTGCTGCTAAATCCAACTTCTCTGTTTCTTTATGGCTTTTCTCTCTGTGGAAGCTTTCAAGATGGTTTTTTTTTTTTTTTTTTTTTTTTTTTTTTTTTTTTTTTTTTTTTTTTTTTTGCTTCTAAAGAGACTTTTAGCTGGTTCTGCTGCTGCAGGCCTGGATTCACAACTACTTGGGAGAATGAGGCAGAAGATTCAACATAGACTGTATCTCAAACTTTTGAAAAAGTTCTGGGAATGGAGGGTGCATGCCTAACATACACGGGCCTTGGGTTCAAGTCCCCAAACCTTTTTAAAAAGAAAAGAAATGAATAAATTCCATGAGTCCTGTTGCAAGCCCTCTCTTACTAACTGTGAGGACAAAGTAAAGGTGAGCCGCTCACCGAGAAGCATCTACGGGCGTCTCTGGTAGGATTGTCTTGCTGCGCCTTTACATCCCCGCATTCTGGCGCAGAGGCCTCCTGGCGGCTGGGGGCCTGTGGGAAACAGGCAGTATCTGTACTTGACCTTCTCTGGTCTGACCTCTTCAAGAAGGGCACTGAGCTCATAGTAATGTCATAGCCATGCAGCTGTACTTAGTTACAGTACCACAAGGAATGGCTTGGGTGCCCTGCTCACGTCCTCCCGAACAAGCAGCGGCTGGAGGAAGCGTCTGAAGTGAGCTCGGCCTCCCTCGCTAATATCTTTACAGGGCCGGGGGCAGCTGCTAGGCTTTGTGTCTGGAGAAGATCTGTCCAGAGGGTCAGAAGAATCTCATGGCTTGAGAAGACTGGGCAGTGAAGTCTGATCCTTTGAAATAGTCTCTGAGAATTTTCCTTGTCAAATGTATTTGTTGCATCAAAAGTCAGATGTCATGTTCATAGTTAATTTATGGATCAAAAGTACATCCTGTAGTGTACCTGAAGAATGTCAAAGCATATGTGCAGATTTTATTCCACTGCCATTGTGCCCTTAATTCTGTCCCTAGAATTCTCAGGAAACACAGAATGGCTGTCCTGTGATTCATGTTGCAGAATGTCCAACCCTTTATGCATTGTGGCTAAGATGGGTATTTTGCAGTGTCTAGCTGTGACTCTGTGACCTGGCTGTGTCCATGAAGCTGTTCCCTCCCTGTCCCTGTTGGAAATGGAAGTGGCCTTCCCCTGAAGCACCTGGCACAGAGTTGGCCCAGTGGGATTCACAGCAGGGACATTATTTCCACCCCTTTGGCAAAATATGTGTCTGGGTCATCCCAGAACTCATGCTCCTCTTGCTGGCCACAGCCCCTTCTCCTGGGGGCTCTTGAGGGGAGTTAAAGGAAGAGCCCTTCTTCTTGGTGGGGATTAAATAAGCCACACTCCGATGCTAGACAACCTCGGCTTCACCAAGAGACCACACATTGGATGCTTAGGGGCAGCATGTTCCCTCTCCTGAGATAGGCCCAGGCCTTGGCCCCTGACCAGGGTGGCCTCTAGGGTCTAGGGTGGGCAGTTTCCTTTCCTGGGAGTGGCATGAAATTGAGGTCAAGGTCCTGTTTAAGAGCAGGGGCTGACGGAGAACACAGTGCTTGTCAGCACCCTTTTGTGAATCTGAGGAAACGCTAGAGCAGATTCTAGAAGAAAGTGGCTTTGTCAGGCCTATGGTCCCAGGGCAAAGGAGCTTGCTTCCTTTTCCCCTAAAATATTCATGAGGGGGAAAAAAAGGAAATGTCCAAGCTCAGTCAGTGAGAAAGGAAACAGCTTCATTCACTGACAAAGTGGCCACAGCTGAATCCTCAGTCTGTGGAATCCTTACCAAAGCTGGCAATGAAATACTCTTGTTGAAACTCACTGAAGCTCCTTACTTGCCTGCAGATTGTTCCCCATTTCATAAGAGAAGGCTCAGCGAGCTTGAATGCTTTCTCAAGGTCACACAGATCTGAGCATCAGGCCATCAAGTTTAGAACCTGACCCCTAGTGTGGGACAAATTCAACACACAGCTGTGCCGCCACTTCTGTACACATGCCCTGAAAGGTGTGTGGACCACTGCCGAATTAGACTGACCACAATTGAGCAAGCGCGTCTGAACCACAAGCAAGTGTCCATTTGCACCCTGCCCAGGCATCTGCAGCTGAGGAGTGGCCCTGCCAAGAGCGCAGTGAGGGGTCCTTGAGGTTCCATGAGACTGCAGGGCTGGTGTCTGGGCCTTGACCTGACACTGGTGCCCAAGAGGACTGCACCTGGGTCCTTCCCTAGTTCACCTGTACTAAGCTCCACCTGTGACCCAAGGTGTGACGGGAGTGACCTCAGGACCCTTAACTTTCAGTACCATAGAGGGCACACGGGAAACCAAGTGTCAAGATTGTAGGTAGAAGCTGGATGTGGTGGTGCATACCTTAATCCCAGTAGAGGCAAGTTAATAAATAAATGAATAAATCTCTGAATTTGAGGGAGGCCTGCCTGGTCTACATGGTGAATTCCAGACTAGCCAACCAACACAGCAAGACGTGTCTCAGAACAAAAATAAAATGTATGCAGAACTGGGCACAGTGGCCCACAGCAATTAGGAAGCTAAAGCAGGAAGATTTCAAGTTTGAGGCCAGTCTGTGTTACATAGCAAGAAAAAACTCATCTCAGCCGGGCGGAGGTGGTGGTGGTGGTGGTGGTGGTGGTGGTGGTGGTGGTGGTGGTGGTGGTGGTGCACGCCTTTAATCCCAGCACTCAGGAGGCAGAGACAGGCGGATCTCTGTGAGTTCAAGGCCAGCCTGGTCTACAAAGTGAGTTCCAGGACAGCTAGGGTGGTTACATAGATAAATCCTGTCTCAAAAAACAAACAAACAAACAAAAAACAAGAAAAACAAAAAAAGAACAAAAGACAAAAAAAAGTCACACACATGTAGGTATACTATACAGGAGTCAAGATCCTAAATTAATATTTGATGGGCTTCTGGTGGATTTGAGATTATTTCATATCATGGTAAGGAATGATGTGTTTTATTGCACCCTGGTCCAAAGTACCCTGTTGTCCTCTCAGCTGGCAGGGGAAAGGTTGTACTGATAGGCTCCAAAGAGTTCTAGGAACACTCAAGCTCCGGAGCGCAATCTGCTTGTTCCCTGCCCCTTGGTAATGCTGAATGATTGGCTCAGGGACACCCCTTCTTGGTGCTTTGATCAGGAGAACACTGCCCCCCAGGAGTTGGGGAGGGCATGTGCTCTGTGATGCTGGTGTCTGCCTTTCAGAGGGACTTGGAAGCAGTCTTGTTTGAAGAGCTTATCGTGTGGGTTTTTCCATTCTTCCCTCTGCTGTTGGGTCTTTTCTGTAGGTATCTGCACCAGTCGGGGGCTCTGACCATGGAGGCCCTGGAGGACCCTCCCCCAGAGCCTGTGGAGTGCCCAGACGAGGATATTGCTGACAAGGTAGGTCCTCTGTGTTGAGAGCTGGGCAGAGGTGATGGGCAGTCTCATCAGAATGCTACAGGGAAGAGCTCGGCCTGTTCCTGCAGCTCTGTGAGGTGCTGGGTGGTGCTTGGGAACACCTGGTCTCTTCTTGGCACTTGGGGAAATGGCAGTGGTGTCATCTGGCTATTTAAATCCTTTGTTCATCCTTGGTTCCCTCAAATGTCTATGTCATAAAAGAAGGGCATTTCATAGCATTTGGACAGAGCAAGCCAACAAGGAGTAGAACCAAACAAGAGCCATAATATTTTATTATATTTGTTTATTGTTGTATATGTGTATGGTTACATATGTGGCTGTCATAGGTAGTTCTGTCCTTCAAACATGTGGGTTCCAGGGTTGGAACTCAGGTTGTGAGGCTTGGTAGCAAGTGCCTTTACCCAGTGAACTATCTCAGCAGATTGCTATTAGTTATTGTGCCAGATTGTGCCAGGTTCCTTCATGTGAGTCATTTCAGGGGAGCACCAAGAAGGAGGTGCCAAGGACAGTTTACTTGGGGCTTCCAGTTTCAGATGATAGAGTCCATGACCATCATGGCTGGGAGCATGACAGCAGGCAGGCAGGAAGGCACTGGAGCAGCAACCGAGAGCTCACATCTTGAGGAACAACCATGAGGCAGAGTGAGCTAACCGGAAATGGGTGGGACTTTTGAAAACTCATAGTCTGCCCCCAGTGACACACCTTCTTTGACAAGACCACACCTCCTAATCGTTCCCAAACAGTTCTTTAGGTGGGGACCAACTATTCAAATCTATGAGCCTATGGGGGCCATTCTTATTCCAACCACCACATTTCATTCCTTAGTCCCATCGTTTTGTGGCCATATCATAATGAAAATGCATTTAGTCCATCTTCAGACATCCCATCATCTTCCACAGTATTAACACAATTTAAAAGTTCAAAGTCTTTCTGAGTCTCAAGGTTCTCCCTCCCTCTCTCTTTCTTTTTCCAGACAGTGTTTCTTTGTGTAGCCCTGGCTGTCCTGTAACTCACTCTGTAGGCTGGCCTCAAACTCACAAACATCTGCCTGCCTCTGCCTTCTGAGTGCTAGGATTAAAGTTGATTTTATATATATACTAGTAGGAACTACAGTTAGCTATTTGTCCTGAGTTTCTTTTAGACCTGACACTATTACTGTGATATGACACTGTGACCAAGGCAACTTGTAGAAGAAAGAGTTTATTTGGGGTTTACAGTTCCAGAGGGATAGGAATCCATCACCATCATGGCAGAAAGCATGGTGTCAGACAGGCAGGCACTGGAGGAGCAGCTGAGAGCTCACAGCCATGAGGGTTCTACAAGGAAACAGAACTTATAGAATGATATTCATTCTCTCTCTCATTAGAATAGTTTACAGACAGGGCCTGGAGAAATGACTCAGTGGTTAAGAGCATGGGCTGCTGTTTCAGAGGACCTGAGTTCAATTTCCAGCAACCACATGGAGGCTCACAACATCTATAGTGGGATCTAATGGCCTCTCTGTCGTGTAGACATGCATGCAAATAGAGCACTCACATACATAAAATACATACATACATACATACATACATACATACATACATAAAACTTTTTAAAAAAAAAAAAAAAAAAAGAATGGTTACAGTCTGTGGTCCAGCTAGTCCAGCAATGGCCATCTACCAATGGAAGGTCTAAGAGTCCAGTAGTTGCTCAGTCCGCAAGGCTGGGTGTCTCATCTGGTCTTTGATATACATCAGAATCCCAAAAAAGTACCTCCAATGCCAGTCAAGGAATGGACTTGCTAGTGAGATCGGGAAAGAGCAGGCAAGGAACGAGCTCCCTCCTTCCATGTCCCTCTAGAGGCTGCCAGCAGAGGGTGTGGCCCAGATTCAATTTGGGTCTTCCTATTTCAAATGATTTAATTAAGAAAAAATCCCAGCTGGGCAGTGGTGGCACACGCCTTTAATCCCAGCACTTGGGAGGCAGAGGCAGGCAAATCTCTGTGAGTCTGAGGCCAGCCTGGTCTACAGAGCGAGTTTCAGGAAAGGCACAAAGCTACACAGAGAAACCCTGTCTGGAAAAAAGAAAAGAAAAGAAAAAATCCCTAGCTGGGCAGTGATCGAGTTGACAACCAAGAATAGCCATCACAAGTTCATCCCTTGTCAACATATAATCATATTTCCCCATGTTATGTTTAATTTCTAGATGAAAATAATAACCAGGTCATAATTACACCTAACATGATATAATTATCCCACATACAGTCTCAAATAGGTTGCAATATCCCGTGAGAGACATCCTTCCCCTCTCCCACCCAAGACAGGGTTTCTCTGTGTGACAGTCTTGGCTGTCCTGGAACTTGCTTTGTAGACCAGGCTGGCCTCGAACTCAGAGATCCACCTGCCTCCCGAGTGCTGGGATTAAAGGCATGTGTCACCACTGCCCGGCTGATGTTATATTTCATGGTAAAGAAATTGAAGAAAGAAAGCATAAATATCTGTATAACTTCATTCTTAACAAAATAGGAGGAAACACTAATGTTAATTATAATCCTTGTTTCTACAACTGGTTACATACCCTTAGCTGGTATATATAACTATCTTGCCCAACTACCCATTCTGTATTTCTTCCACCCTCAGTAAGCAACTTCAGCAGGCCTTGGCTCTTTTCCTGGAGGGTCTGTGCCCTTTGTCATCCTGCCTGGATTAGGCTGTTGTAGCTTCCCATTGTCATTAATCACAGGACATGATTAATGGTAGACCCAAGAGACAGTCATCCTAAAGAATCGCCTACACCCCACACATAATCTTTGTGACCTCCACTGTGGAGAAGAATCCAATTTCCCCTTGGTAATCTGGATCAATCACCCCTCCTAACACAGCTCTTCATTTCTTAGCCTGTTAAGGGCATCAGGGTCTTCTGGATCACATGATGATAACCACAGGATGCGTTCAGGGACCCCCCCTGCACTTGTGTGAGTCAGACTTTAGAAAAACTCCGTTAATCACCTGACCACCATAAACCTCTCCTTTAATAGGAGGGCCACAGTGTTTCTTGGGGTCCTCCCAGAATCAGCATCAATTCAGATCCAGTATCCAATAGACTCTGGGAAGTCTGATTGTTACTTCCCCCGGTGTGCAGTTCCCCTTGTAAAAGGCCGCAGGTCTCTCTGGGAAGGCCTGGAGAACGGCTAACACTGAAACTCTTAGGTATTTGTCAAGTTCCTTCCTCAGGGGAACCTGGCCATCCCTGCATTCAAGAGGTTTTGGATCTGCAAACTGGCTCCAGTCTGGAAACTGGTTCACAGGCTGAGATTCCCTTTGCCAGTCCAGTGCAGACTTTCTTTCATTTGTTTTAGAATTTTCTGCTTATTCAGATCCAAGAGAAATGCAGTAGGCTTCTTATCTACTTCATGCCTGGAGATACCAGGACTGATTAGCCAGCACCAAAGGTCCATATGTGAGTCATGCCCCCATAAAAGGTACTTTGTGCTGACCATTACAATAACTAGATCACCTTGCCTTTGGCAATTCCATGCTGCCACCTGGCCTTGCCACTTCCGGGCCCAGTTAAACCCACTGTATCTAATTCTTCCAGGCTAAGGTCTGGCACAAGGAAGAGGGTGGCAGCAAACCTCTTCAGATGTGCTGAGACCTCTCGCCGTTTGCATCTTAGACAGTTAGTGAAGGCCGTGTCTTCTGGGCCTTCCCATCATGGAGGATTAGATTTTACACAGCACACCCACTCTAGCATTTCCATTTCCTTGGGCCTGAAAATGCCTTCATCAACACTAAGCCAAGGGATATCAGGCATCTCCAGCTCCTTTTCAGTAGTCCGTCTTTTGACAACTGCTTCAGCCAGCCATTCAAAGTTTTGACACGTTCTTAAACTGTGCGAGCTCCTATATTAAATCTAGGATCTCCACTCAGTGAGCCCATATCAATGAACTCAGCCTGATCTAGTTTTATGTTCCTTCCACCGTTATCTCACACCCTTAAAATCCATTCCCTTGCCAGGCAGTAATGGCTCACACCTTTAATTCCCAGCACTCAGGAGGCAGAGGCCTGAGGATCTCTGTGAGTTTGAAGCCAGCCTGCTCTACAGAACTAGTTTTGGACAGCCATGGCTGTGCAGAGAAATCTTATCCTGAAAATACAAAAACATAAACAAATAAAATCCATTCCCGGGGTTGGGGATTTAGCTCAGTGGTAGAGCGCTTGCCTAGCGAGCGCAAGGCCCTGGCTTCGGTCCTCAGCTCTGGGGGGAAAAAAAAGACAAAGTAATAAAATCCATTCCCACACATATTCCTGCTTGAGTGAACTAGCAAACTCATTAAGCTCTTTAGTAGTGTAGTGCACCTCCTTGTGGACTGCACTTTCTATCTTCTCTCTAGGAGCCTGCTTAGCCTTAAGTCTGGTTATAGGTCCAGAGGCAACCATTGGTTGGCCCTGAGGGACATCAATATTGTGTTGCCTGGCATTTCCTTCAGACAAAGTCACTGCTGGTTTAGCAGACAATGAAGGGTTAATTTCCTCAGTCGAAGGCATAAAAGGCAGTATTTCAGGGTGTTGGGTGGGAGTACATCTTCTGCTGAGGGTAGGGAGAATACTTCCTCCTTTGAATACTCTTGAGAATCTGAGGGTTCAAAGTCCTCAGCTCCAGTAGGGTCCTCCCACACACACATTGGCATCCCAAGTTACAGGATCTCAGTCTTTCACATTTAAAGCCCTTACTTTAACTGCTGACACCCTCCAAGACTGGGACTCACAGGTCTACGTACTCAGTGGCCTGGGTTTTAGTCCATTTCAGATGTAGCCAGCTGACAAACAAGAATGGCCATCACACCAGCTATTCAAAGATATGAGCCCTTTGAGGCCATTCTCATTTTGAACTCCACAGGGAGAGAACTCTGCCACAGGCTTGCCTTTTGTACATTGCCACAGCCTGGCCTGGAGCCTCACTAAGGGCCAGTCTGTGACTAGTAAGGGTGGCAGCAGAACCTTCCTGTTTCCTCCTGTGCCTGCCAGGCATCTGTGCCTGGCCTCGCCTTCCCCTGCACCTCCCCTCACCCCATCTTACAGTTGCCTTCACTTCCTCTGTCCATAACTCACTTCCCTGTCCACCTGCCTTTCCTCACACTGTACGCACAGGATTTCCACTTAGGTTTCCCTAGCCATCTGATCTCCGTACTCTGCCTTGCATTCTCCTGTGCCTGCTTTGTCTTGGCACGCCCTTGAACCTGCCTTGGCTCTCCTCTTCCGGCCAGGCCTCTTCTCTGCCACGCTTCACCTCTCACTGTCCCAGCCTCACCTTCGCTATCTCCCCTCCTCAGCATCTTCAGGGCCTTACGTTGTGTTCTGAGGCTGAATCCTTCCTCTGTCTGCATTCTCTTCATAATACATTCCCTCCAAAGGAGGAAAAGACGGAGACATGGCCCTTTCTGTCCCTACCGTCCCCAGACATCTGGGCTGCCTCTGTGTGTTTTAGCTGGCACTGGAGCCTCACAAGGGAATATGTGTCTGGGTGAGCCTCATGGTCCCATGCACAAGCCAGAAGGCACTCTCGGTACCCTGTAGAACTCAGATTTCCCAGTGACACTTGCCTTGTTCTGTTGAGTCGGCTGTGACCCTCTGGCAGCTGCACTGCTGTGGTTTATAAGATAGTCTCTAAGGATGAGCCTGCCTCCCACTTAGCAGGTGGGTATGGGCATCCCCATGCTACCTCCAGTCGTCCCCTTGGGGGCACGGCTTCTGCCTCTTTCTGCTTGTTCCTCAAGCGTTCATCTCTTTGCCTAGGTCATCTTCCTGGAAAGACGGGTGTCAGAGCTGGAGAAGGATAGTGCAGCCGCTGGGGAGCAGCATGGCAGGCTGAGGCAAGAGAACCTCCAGCTGGTGCACAGGTGAGTGTGGCTATGGCCTGGCACCACCCATGGCCATCACAGCATCGCTCTCACGCGATGAGCAGGACCCTGCAGAGAACCAGTTCTTACCTGGTTCCATCTGTCCATTCTGGTGCTGGTGAGTGCCAGGCACGGTCAGAGAACTATGGCAGGTTGATGTGAGGCTCTGGCCTGAACACTCTACCCTGGCAGATATCTGCTATTATATATAGACAGTAGAGCCCCAGAAAAGTGAGCGAGGGTACTACTTGCCTGCATGGAAGCAAGAGAGTTCTGTCCACCAGGAGCAGTTGGGGAGGTGCAGCTTAAAGTGGAGAGCTGGGCATTGAGATGCACAGGCCCAATCCAAGCACTTGGGAAGTGTAAGAGGATCGTGAGTTCAAGGTTATTCTTGGCTATAGTGTGTCCAAGACCAATCTCAGCTGTATGCAGTGGAACTAGGGAGACAGCTCAGTCAGGAAAGTGCTTGCCAGGGCAAACGTGGGGACCTGGGTCTTATCCCCAACCCCATGTAAATGCCAGGCTTGAGAGCGCACACTCGTAATCCCAGCACTGGGGAGGTAGAAACAGGAGGATCCTTGGGGCTTGCTGGCCAGCCAGTGTAGACTACTCAGGGAGCATCAAAGGAGTGGGCAGTGTTCCTGAGGATGACACCCAAAGTCATCCTCTGTGTTTCACATGCATATACAACAGAAACTTGCATGTGCACTTGCACGCACAGACACACACACACACACACACAGACACACACACACACACACACACACACACACCCCACAGAGGTGTTGGAGAGATGGCTCAGCAGCTAAGAGGATCCAAGTTTGATTCTCAGCACTCAGATGGTAAGTTCGAAGCCAACCTGGGCCACAGAGTGATACCCTGTTTCAAGAAACGAGGGGGTGGAAGAAGAAATGGAAAGAAGTCAAGGAGTTGGAGACTCGGTGTTTACTCCTCTTACGGAGGACTTGAGTTCGGTTCCCAGCACCTGCGCAGCAGCTCACAACTGTCTCCAGCTCCAGCATATCTTGCCTCGTGGGCACACGGCACACCTGTGGCACACTTACATATATGCAAGCAAAACACACATGCACATAAACTAAAACTAAATCTTTAAAAAAGAAACAAAAAGGAGCCGAGTCTGGGATGGCAGGCCTGTAATTCCGGCAGTAGGAGGTGGAGGCCAGGGATCAGGCGCCCTCGGAGATGTGTTCTGAACGTGGCTGACCTTCCTAGGATGGAGCCTGTGCTGCCCTCCTTCCCATCCCCTGGATGTCTCCATGTGGCTCTCAAAAGGTTTCTGTGCTGAGCATTGATCCTCAGTCTTTAACTCTGAGAAGTGTGTGGGTTTGGGGGCTCAAACTCCGTTAGTTAGGCTGGATGGCAAGCACCTTTACCTGCCAGGCCATCTTGCCAGGCTCTGTAGCCTCTTCTTTTCTCATCAGCCTTAACTTTGATCATAGTAGATACACTTGAACTTGAATTTTCTTCATTTTCCTCATCTAGTATATCACTCTGTCCTCACTGGGTCAACCCAGGGTCTTGTTTATGCTGAGCAGGTACTCTATTTCTGAGCCACACCCTCCCGACATTCATTTCTAAGAGTTGTTTTTATGTTGTTTTGAGACAGGGTTTCTCTGTGTATCCCTGGCTGTCCTGGAACTGGCTCTGTAAACGAGGCTGGCCTCGAACTCAGGGATCCACCTTCCTCTGCTGGGATTAAAGGTGTGCGCCTCCACACCTGGCTCTAAGAGTTGTTTTTAATCCCTTCTCCCACAGCATGCCACTCCTATTTCCTCATAACACCAGACACCCCCGTGCTGTCTGGTGCTCTTCACTGGTCTTCATTCACCAAAAAGGAGCTAAGGTAGACGCACTAGGGCTATGGCTTCACTCCCAGCTCTGGGCGGGGCTGGCAGCACTTCTCTCAGGGATCACCCCTGACCATCCCTGTCTTCTGCAGGCAGCTGGGGAAGAGGCCAGAGCCTCAAGCCTAACCAGAGCTCTTCTTTAAGTGATCCCGGAGGGGACGAGTGCAGGGGGATCCTCTCTAGGTGCAACTCCACCACAGCCCGTGGTGTCCACACGCACCAAGCAGCTGCTCTAACCCTCAGCACCACCACAGTCTAACTGTGCTGCCGCTGAAGTCTGGACTTGCTCAGCAGTATGGACTTGCTATCACAGTTGCTTTCTACAGACTCCTGTGGCCCTCAGACCCCCACACTTTCCGGCTCTTTCTTCAGGCCTTACTTGTCGGAGTTTGTAGTGGCCTCCCTGGGACAGCTGCTACCTGGTCAGTGCCCAATGCCTCAGGAACACACTTCATAAACCTTACAGATATGCACATCTTCTCCCGTTTGCCCTTAGAGCCAATGCCCTGGAAGAGCAGCTGAAGGAGCAGGAGCTCAGAGCCCAAGAGAGGGTTCTGGAAGAGACCAGGAAGCAGAAAGAGCTCCTGTGTAAGATGGAACGTGAGAAGAGCATTGAGATCGAGAACCTGCAGGCCAGGTGAGCAAAGCTCCAGAGCAGGCAACAGGAATCCTGTCCTCCTGGGAGGTGGAAGAACAAAGGGATACTCAAATGGAAAGATGCTTAAAACTTCTTGTTTAGCCGGGCAGTGGTGGCGCACGCCTTTAATCTCAGCACTTGGGAGGCAGAGGGAGGCGGATCTCTGTGAGTTTGAGACCAGTCTGGGCTTCAGAGTGAGTTCTAGGACAGGTTCCAAAGCTACACAGAGAAACCCTGTCTCGAAAAAAAAAAACAAAAAACTTCTTGTTTAATTTTTCAGTTATGTTAATTTATTATGTGCTTGTGTGTGTATGCATGTACAAGTGTGAAAGTCAAGAGTACAACTTGTAGGAACTGGGTCTCTCCTGCCATGTAGGTTTGGGGCATTAAGTTCAGGTTCAGCCTGGGAAACAGAGACTTCATTTCCCTACCCACCCCCAAAATATCAACTTTGATTTTAAGGGAATTTGGCAGACTTAGTTTTGTGTTCGCTTGGCACTGACACCATGGGTGTTTGGTACATTACCAGTCCCACTCCAGGAGCAACTGATAGCGGAAATATCCATACACACTTCCACACTGTTGGAACTGTGCCAAAGGGACATTGAAGTCCAATGGAAGAGTTTCCAGTGACCAGAGCTGTGAATGGCAGTGGTGACAGTCCCACGGGAGGATAGCCAGGGTATAAATGATATGGGCAGGAGTCCTCAGCCAGAGTCAGCCTAGACATAGAAGACAAGATTCCCAGAGGAATACCAAATAGTGTCTGCATACACCCCTCCAGGAGCTTGTGTGGAGTCCCTCTCTTGGGGTATAAATTAAGGGACCAGCAGAGATATATACCTAACAGACACAGCATAACCAAGTGACCCATGATGGTGGTGGGTGTCAGGGAAGTGTGACAAGGACCTCACTATGGAAGCATTTTCTGTAAGCACATCCCTCCAAGTCTAAACACCAAAAACTAGTCTGAGGCACATTTTTCAGAATATATGTCCAAGACTACCACAGTATTCCAGTCTGGGAGACAGACAGACCAGGGAATATAAAGACATAAGGATTATGTGTGATATCGTAGAGTTGGTAGAATGTGTGCATTGATTAATAGTGTAGCCCCACTGAGTATATGTTGTGATGTGCTACAGTGATGTCTAAGAAAACTGCAGAGGAAAACCAAAGCAGACTCTACACTGTCCACAACTTTTCTACAAACCTCAATTTCTTAAACCCAAAGCGCTTTAAAGCCATCATGGCCAGTGCAAGGTAACGCATACCTGTACTCCCCGCATTTAAGAGATAGAAGCTAGAGGATCAGGAATTCGGGGTCCTCCATGTCTGTGCACGAAGGTTGCGGCCAATGTGGGCTTCGTACTACTCTATCTCAAAAGACAAAAACAGACAACAGAAAGCTGGGGGGTAAAGCTGGCCATGGTATTTGGGATTATCATGGGTCACGCAACAGCTCCCAGTGAGTGAGTATTTATTCCTCTAGAGCTAGGTCTGCCTTGTCCCACGGAGGTACATTTGAGGGGAGCAGGTCCTAACCTGTTCTTGCGTCCAGGTTGCAGCAGCTGGATGAGGAGAACAGCGAACTGCGGTCCTGCACACCTTGTCTGAAGGCCAACATCGAGCGCCTGGAGGAGGTGAGCTGCTAGCCTGGCACTTGTGGGGAGAGCCCTTCCTAGAATAAATGCTGCCCTCTGCCCTGTGCTAGATAGATTGGAATTGAACCAGGGCACGTACGTGGCCGTGGCTTTCCGAAGGGAAGGGTAGGAGTCGGGGGTTGGCAACGCTGGGCCCTGCTGGGCTCAAATGTGACAGAGCTGCTGTTAGACATTTGGCCCCACCCAGCCTGTCCGCTCTCCCACAGACCTACACTATCTGCTCATGTCTGAGTGGACAAGAAGATGCTCTTGCTCATCAACAGGAGAGACAGTACTGTTAACTTCTCCTCCGGTCTTTAACTGAGAGGCCACCCCTCCAGACACCCTCACAGAGTGCCTCTGGGAAGGTCTGAAACCAGTGTATTCCCAGCCTACCTAGGCTCTGACTCCTATAAACCAGAGGAGGAGCCGAGCGGGAGCACTCCACAGATACTGGGCTAGATCTTGGCCATCTGAAGGTCCTCTGGCCCCAGGGCAGGGCGGCGTTGACGGGGTAACAGGAAAGCACAGACATAGTCCTGCCATGGACTGACAGTGTCTGTCACTGGACTCGGAGATCGATGGTCTGGAGCACAGGCCGTCGAGTTAGGCTGTGTACACTGGGAAAGCGGTGCCACTCCCTGTCCACACTGCGGTCTGTTTCTGCAGGAGAAGCAGAAGATGCTGGATGAGATCGAAGAGTTGACACAGCGGCTCAGTGAAGAACAAGAGAATAAGAGGAAGATGGGGGACAGGCTGAGCCACGAGCGGCACCAGTTCCAGAGAGACAAGGAGGCAACTCAGGAGGTGAGCAGGGCCATTTGTCCCTCCGCACGTTCCCACCTTGTCCGACGTTGCCTGCTCCCTGGTGGGGGCCAGGAAACCCTTTCGTTTCCCGACTCTCTGGGCACTAGTGTGCCGCAGCCTCTTAGAACACAGGTCAGCACCCTCCCAGGAGAGGGTGGTCAGGCCAGCTAGCGGAAGCCCGCTTGTGGTTGTCCCACAGCTCATCGAGGACCTCCGCAAGCAGCTGGAACACCTGCAGCTCCTCAGACTCGAGGTGGAGCAGCGGCGAGGCCGCAGCAGCAGCCTGGGCCTGCAGGAGTACAACAGCCGTGCGCGGGAGAGCGAGCTGGAGCAGGAGGTCCGCAGGCTCAAACAGGTGTGTTCTGCCTTCCCACCTCCTCACAGAGGCTCCCGGGAGGCTGGCAGCAGAGGGGGCACCAAGCTGGGGTCCTTCCTGGCAGGTCCTTGTCCCAGCAAAGGACATAGCCCAGTGTGACACTGCCATGTCCCCTAGGACAACCGCAACCTGAAGGAGCAAAATGATGAACTAAATGGGCAGATCATCACCCTCAGCATCCAGGGTGCCAAGAGCCTCTTCTCCACGTCCTTCTCTGAGTCACTGGCTGCAGAGATCAGCTCCGTCTCCCGAGATGAGGTAGCTTGTTCTGCTTTTGTGTACCCCTAGGTCTGTTTATTCTGCCCAGGTCCCTTCCTCTCCCTGCACTGACCCTTTGCCGTTCTGCAGCTCATGGAAGCAATCCAGAAGCAGGAGGAGATCAATTTCCGCCTGCAGGACTACATTGACAGGATTATTGTGGCCATCTTGGAGACCAACCCATCCATCCTAGAGGTCAAGTAGGACATCTTAGCCCGGTTTGGGCTGGTTATAGACTCCACAGCGCCCCAGAGTGGCCGAGCCAAGACCAGCGGGTCCTGCAGCTTACCAAGCCTAGCGTGTAGGGGCCTCGTGCAGCTGGACTGGGGGAATAAAGATGAAGGTTACAGAGAACAATAAGAAGGAAAAAAGGGAAGGCCACAGCAGACAGGGGTGAGGCTGGGCTCCCTGAGGGTCACGAAGCCAGGACCTCCCACCACAAGCTGGCCTAGCCAACACCACCCATGTCTGCTCAGCAGAATGCAAATATGTGGGGATAGTCTCTCAGGCTGGGACGGGGCCCTCGATGACTCTCTGGCACACCCCTCTTCCTGCTCTGCAGCCTGTTAGGAAGATAGGGGAAAAAATGAATCCTCACCTCAGTTACGGCCTCTCACTCATGTTGACATGGTGCCACCCAAGCTTGGCCATTCCCACATGGTATGCAAGCTGAGGACCCACAAGTTGGACATAGACATGATACTCTGGAAAGACAGGCAGGCAGAGGTGGCAGATGTGGGGTCTGGTCTGGAGCCACAGGCCACCTATTCATTCCCCTTGCGCTGCTCAGGCCTTCTCCCACCAGATGGGCTTCCATTCACCTTTGGACCCGGGCCTCCACGCCACACAGCCATCCTTTGACCAGATCCTCACTACGGTAACTCGTCAGCTCTGGTCCTCCTGTGGGGGCCAGGGCAGCTGGCTCATGCTGACTGGAACTCACGTCCTGGACTGGTGAACACCCAGGCGCAGGTGCTGCTTCTCCTCAGGTGTGGCCTACCCTGGCTCCTGGACCCACGCCCTCCTCAGGCTGGCTTTGCTGCCCTGGGAGAAGTTGACACTTCCCAGACAATAGTCTAGGCCTCCGGAACAAAGTTTCCTTCTCTGCTTTTGACTTTAAATCCCTGGGTGTCCCCCAGGAGTCATTCTGCTGGTGGGTAGGTGGACAAGGCTCTACACAGACCCAGAGGCAGAGGAAGACTTGCTGCTTGTCCCTGCACCTCTCACAGAGTGCAGCGTCCATGGGCCTGAGCCTGAGCACTAGCCAGGAGTCTGGGCACACCATGTGAGACCACACCATAGGCTGTGTGAGTGTGTGTGTGAGTGTGTGTGTGTGTGCGTGTGTGTGCGTGCGCGTGTGTACATGCATGAGTGTGCACACAAGTGTGAATGTATATATGCTTGTGCCCACACATGCTGCCCTGCATCCCTTCACTGCCTACCCCCCCTTGCCTTCCCTTCTACACTACAGTTTAAGATGTTGCCTCGTATTGTACATTTTGGGGAAAGCCTTGTGTGTAAATCAGTGTAAACTTGGAGGAGAGATTTTTCTATCATGTAGAGTAGGTATTTTTTATAGATTGAAGGTTGATCAATTTTTTAATACTTTCCAGAGAGAAAACTATCTGTGTATACATATGAAATATATATATATATATGTATAATATATCAATCCTGAAGCCCCGCCTTTCTGTCCCAGGTCCCAAAGTCCTGTGCAAGGGCTTGGCCTGTCTCTGCTGTCTGCCCTGCAGTGCTCACTGTAAACACAGGTCTCCAGGAGACCCTGGGAAACACACCAATCACCAACTTGCTCACAGACAGCATCTGCTTCAGCTCCCTGAGAAGTAGCTCTTCCTCCAGGGCATGGAAGGATGGGAGGCCAGCAGGATCCTGTCCCATGTGTCAGCCACAACAGATTAAAGCTGTTACCGCACACAGAGGCCGGCTCCTTTCTCCACAGGGGTGGTGCGGTGGGTGGTTATGGGCCTGGCCTTTGTTTTCCTCAGGTTTCTAGGGAGGTGACCTTGGTCGTTTAAGAACAAATCATGGGAGACTCTTGGTTTTCTGCCTTGATCAGGTTGCACCCACCCTGAGGCCCCAGGATTGCTCCTCTAGGATGGGCTATTTCTTGGGCAGAGTCTGAATCTTAAAGTAAGTAGCTCTACTGAGAGTCATTTCTAAAAGCAAGGTCCCAATGACTTCCAACAGCCCCTTAACTGGTAGAACTTGTGCCCTGAATACAACCCGGGGCAGGGGGTGGGTGCGGTAAGCTTCAGTTGAGATTGGCAGATGGGCAGAGGGGGAAGTATAGGTGTGATTATCACAAAGCTCGGGCACAGTGCACTTACCCCTGGGCTACACATCCTATATCTGAAAGGAGTCGCAGTGTAGTATGGTCAGGGATGAACTATTCAGAGCCGTAGAGAGTGTGAGGAGGAACATCCCCAGGAGGAGCCAGCACAGAACTCCAAAGCAGGGAAGAGAACAGGCAAAAGCAAAGGCAAGTGTGCCTCAGAAATCTGTCCGAAGGGCTGAAGAACTGAAGCCTTGGGTGGCACAGGAGTCAGTGACACTACTATGGAAGTACTAAAAGGTGTCATCAGAGCAGCAGGCCACACACCGGCTGCCCTCCCACCCAGGTGCTGACCACCGGCATTTGATTGACACCGGCAAGGCCCATCTGTTCTAGGAGAAGCTGGAAACAAGGAGGACCTCACCAGAGTCTGGTGGCTCCTCAGCTTGATTTCCAGTTAAGCATGGTCTAGTCAACCGCCAGTGGAAGATGTGAGGGCACTGAACCCCAGAAAGACAGTTCCCCATTTGGGATACGGTAGAAGAGGATCACATGGTTGGAATGTGTTGTTAGAAACATTCCAGAAAGAGCTGCCCAAGAATGTCTTGTAGTTGATAACCCCCAGCAGGCTCCTCGCTACACCTCTGACGGAGGGGATGGAGGCAGTGGTCATTGGGGCTTCCCAACTCTTGAGCCTGCAGCAAGTAGAACTCTCTTTCCAAGGCAGATCTGTCTCCAGACGGCTCCTGATGTTGCTCTTATCTTTCCAGTGTTGGTCAGTTATCCATTAAAAACAGCATAAACAGCCAGGCACAGTGGCAATGCTTTTAATCCCAGCACCTTGGAGGCAGAGGCAGGTGGATCTCTGAATCTGAAGCCAGCCTGGTCTACAAATCAAGTTCCAGGACAGCTAGCTAGGGCTATTTATTACACAGAGAAACTCTCAAAACAAAACAAAACAACAACAACAAAAAAAAAAAAAAAACAGCATAAATGAAGCTTGGCCTCTGCAAATTTAAATTGACCTGGCCTCCCTGACTACCCTGAGGAACATTCACTTTTAGTGAACCCAGGAAGGAGCATAACTTCTGGTTAGAACCCATGGCAGCTGCCTAGACATATCTGCCCTGAACATCCTGGCAGTTTGGAACCCAGAAGAAACCCGGAACATGGCACGGAATATTAGCCAGGAACCTCCATTTCTCTTTACTATGAGGTTGGTGTTCTGGTTTATATCCTATGGAAGTCAGAGAAACTTAAACCTGAGTTTTAGACCAGACGGGCTGAGCTGCCAATCATGCCTAAGCACAGTTCATCCACTGGACTCTGTAATAGCTGCTGAGTTTCTCACTAAATCTAGGGTTTCATGCATGCTAGGTAAGCACTCTCACAGAACTATATCTGCAGCATGCACCTTTATAACTATACCTTTTTGGGTTTTTTTTAATTGAGACAAGGTCTTGTCTGATTTGGGTTATCCTCAAACTCACTATGTAAACTGAGGATGGCCCTGATCTTCCTGTCTCCACCTCCCAAGTGTTGGAAATAATAGGTTTGTTCCACAGCCCATCCATCACCCTATGACAAAATCTCACTTTTTAGCCCTGGCTGGCTTCAAACTTAGAGAAATCTGCCTGCCTCTGCTTTGGTGCAACTGTTGTGATTAAAGGCATCATCATGTCTCAACCCTCCACTTTTTGAGACAAAGCCTATTGATCATGCTGGCCTTGAGCTTACTTTCTAGCCCAGGCAAACTTTGAATTTGTGACCCTCCTGTCTCAACCTCCTGAGGAAGACTATGCACCTATACCCAAACTAGGTCTTTTTCTTTTTCCGTTATGGCTGTGTCCTCAAGGCCCAGAACAGTATGCCATCCCATCTACTCAAGACTCAGGGCTGTTGGGTCTGTGGCTGCTGTCCCTGCTGAGGTTTCTTTGCCCTTCTTGACCTCTGCAAGGTGTCCTCTTGTCTATCCACTCAGCAGGGTTCTTTCTATCTTTTTTTTTTTTTTTTTTTTTTTTTGG